GATGAATCAAGCTTAGCATTCAATTAGAGGAGATAAATAATAAACAGGAAAGTACACAGAAAAGATGCTCACAGAGAGATAGGGCGGGCACCAGAGGGGACTTTTGAGCTTAGAGACAGATTGAGAAGAAGAATCTTGGGGTACAAACCTCATCGCAGAGGCAGGACCGGAAGTGGTTGAGGAAGCCTGCTGCTGCAGAAGCTCCAGGGCAGCCTGCTATCCTGGAAGAGCCCTGCCTACAGTAGAAGCTCAGCAAATATCTGCTTCCAACACGTTAGCTTGGAGTCCAGGGGTGAGAGAGCAACAGTACAGCAACTGAAATGATTAGTGTAGTAAATGGGAGATTCACCAGCATGTGGGGACCCAAGAAGCCCTTTCAGCTGGCCCTTCTAAGGAAACCCGCAATTGGATTTGCTTGTGTTCCTTGTGTGCAGTAAAACTCCCCAGACTTGACTCTCTGAAAGTCAACTCTCAGATGTCTCTATGAAAACCCAACTTTTGTGTAGGGAAGGCTTTCACTCCTGGTGTCTCGTCAGCACCACCTGGCAACCATAGAATTTTCAGGTTTTCTGGCCCCACCCTGGGATTTAATTCAGTAAGTCTGGGGTGAGGCTTGGGTTTCTTTAACTTACAAAGGAGAACAATAATAATAACCTTCCCCAGGAGATTCTGCTCCTCTGCTGGTGTGGGAACAGCTCTTCCAGGACATGTGGTTGAGTCATGCCAATCACTTCATGCCCGTACACAGCCCAGGATTCGAGGGTAGGATCCCCAGAACCTAAGTCGCTTAAGACTGTGATATAGCATTGCTGTAAGGGGTCGGTTCTTGGGAGAAGCTTCCCAAGGAGCTGGTGCCTGCGGTAGAGCACAGTACTTCTGGCCAATTCTAGTCATGAATGTAGCAGTTTCTCACGTTCTGCTCACAGTTCCATGCCCACCTGCACCCCAGGTGCGTCTGAGTATCAGCCTCTTTCTTGGCCCCTCAATATATTTATTTTTTGAGGTTCAAAGAAATGTGTTTAAACTTCAGATTGCTGCCACAAACAGAGCAAAGTGTTTTGCACTAGAATAGAAGGTAGCCCCAAAGTGAACTCAATGCAAACAACTACTTCATGAGAGTTCAGCTAGACACACCTGCTCCACCCCGAGCGTCTGAGTCTGAGATCTTTGAGCTCTCCATTAAGAATACAAGTTGGCAGGTGTTATGTATAGAAAGGATGCCCAACCGTAAATGGAGCGTTTCTCAAGTGAAAAGGTAATTGAAAGGGAGTAACTTTCTCACTGCGTGACTCAGAGGCATTTACTATCATATCTACACCACCCAAAAGCCTCTGAGTATCGGCCTCTGTGATGCATCCCACCAGTGTAGCCCTATTATGGTTTGTGCCCCCTGGAAGCCCCATGCAGTTATGGGGCAGACTTCTTGAGTTTGTGATTAACTCATGATCCAGTGGTGGGATTTTTGGCAGATGCCCCAAATGCCACATAAGGGAGACAGACTTGCTCTCTGTTTCTGTTGTTGCTGCTACTCCTCCATTTTGCTCTTGCTATTTTGCTGTCTTCCACCACCATGAACTGCGGTCCCCTGCCATGTACCACTCTGCCTTGGAGCCAGCTGAGTATGGCCTGAAACCTCCACAAACTGGGAGCTAAATAAATCTTTCCTCCCTTAATTTCGGGCGTCTGATATTTTGTCCCAGCAGTGAGAGAAAAGTAACTAAGACAAGCTGTAATCATCATTGTTGATAAATAAACTAATTGTTCTTCTTTAGTAGCAATCAGGAAAAATACAAATTACTACAAGAACATTCCAGAAGTGTGGGCTCAAGGACATGTAGGTAGCCAGCCAAAAGATAGCCATTGAAGAGTGACCAGGACACACTCATCATATCACCAGCTAGAAGGGCCAGGAGGGAGTGGAGGCAAAATTCTGAGAACATTCGAGAGAAACTGCGAGAAATTCTGCAGCTCAGAAGCAAGTACTATTTTTCTCCGTTCTTCTCCCCAAGACTACATCTAGCTGCCAAATTGCCACTTCCTTTGTCCCCAGCATTTGGATGTCATCATGATAGAAACAGTTGGAGGACGGGACCCTGACTTGTGCCTTGCAGCATGGCCCATGCTCGGAGCAATGCCTGCTGCACATGAGCCGCACAGTGGGTGTTGGTCAAGGATTGGCCTAAGTATAAGGCAAACATCAGCTCTGTGGGCTTGGCGCTTCTAGAGAACACGCAAATTCATGCGGAGCTCCCTGAGGCCCCCATCTGCCTTCTGTTCCAGCCTTACATCTATGCCCTGGACCCTACAACTTTGTGGTTTCTTATCTGCAAGACTGAGGTTTTGCATAATGGGCTACAGTCCCTAGCACAGTGCTCCGTAAAGATTTACTGGGTAATCAGAATGTATAATCTTTAGCTGACATTGTCAGCGGTGAAATGGGATTTTCACTGCCTCTGTTGTTAAAGGACTAGGCTGGGATTAGGTGGTGTTAATTGTGGGCGGAGACCATTTGAGGATGGGTGACTTCCAACCTGTACTATACCTCTGAGGTGGGAAGCACATGGTGATGTGAAAAGTGATTAAACAGCACTTTGTAAATGGTGACAATGACACATGGCAGCTGACAAGGAGAATGGAGAAAGTTGAGTTTTCTACAGCCCAGAACTGTTACAAAAGATAACTGTGGACGGAGTCATTCCTGGTCATTGCCCAGGAGGGAGGGCAAAGGTTTCAGGTGGGTGAGATATGCCTAGGAGGTGTCCCAGGCCACACCAGGAAGGTCTCAGTTTCCATGGGGACTCGAATGGAAGAATAAGGCGAAGGATGAGTGAAAGTACATTCTGGCACTCACAACAACGACATCACCCATCGAGGCTCTAAACTATAAGAACATCTAAGCCCACCTTAGTGTTGTAGCTAGCAGGACTGGGTTTGTCTGATGCCCTGAGAAGCAAGGTCTTTTTTGCTGACTGCCTCAGACTGCGAAAATAAGAGAGTTACTTACGGGGCTTGGGGTTGCTTGTTCAAAATGCAGATTTCTGGTCTATTCCTTAGAATTTCTGATATAGAAAGTCTAAGACATTGGCACTTAGTCAAGGGCAATTTTGCTAGAGGACACTGAGCAATGTGTGGTGATAATGTTTATTGCCGCAACTTCCGGTGGACAGGTGTTACATCTAGGAGGTAGGGCTGTGACACCTCCTCCTTCATATAGGACTGCCCTTTCCAACAATGAGGTAAGAGGTATCTGGCCAGGAATGTTCACAGTGCTGAGGTTAGAGGCCCTTGTTCCAAGGTAAGGACCAGCCAGCCATGTGCATCTTAAGAGGGGCTGGGGAAGTGTGGTGGTTAGTGCAGAAAGCAGATGCTTCTAAGGTGCCTGTCTTTGTAAGGTCAGGGAATCTGCAGCAGAGTTGTTTTTCGGCCTAACCCCTTCTCCACATTTACAAGTCAGTTTCTTTGTTTGTTTGGGGTTTTTTGGTTTGGTTTGGTTTGGTTTGGTTTTTTTCCCAGTACCAGGGATTGAACTCAGGACCCTGCACTTGCCAAGCAGGCACTTATTCTACTGAGCTATCTCCCCAGCCCTAGAAGTCAGTTTTGACTCAAGTTTCCACAAGAAATCTCACCTGACCCCAACCCTTCTGCCCTCCGAGTCCAGGTTCACCGTGGCCCAAAGTGCGCCTCCTCTTTGCCTCTGTCCCTTGCTTCTTAGTCTTTGTCGCTCCCACTGGAAGCAGAGCTCCATAAGGGAAGGGCCCAGGTTCTACCCATTCTCAGATGGGTCCCCAACACCTGGAAAGGTACTGGGCCTGTAGTATCCCTCAGGGATGGAGGCCGGCTTTGGTCTGTGGGGTGGGTATCTTCCTCCAGTCCTAGCCCCGCCTGGCTTTCCCATCTCTGTGGAGCTTAATCACTCTGAAACTAGGACATACGTGCAGGCACCGAGTTCTCATGCATTGTACAAATGTTTGGGGCAGCCTGGCTATGAGTCTTTAGCTTTGTCATCATGGGAGGTAATTATAGAACCAAAAAGGTAAAAACCCTTCCTCCCAGCCCAGCTTTTACTCTAGAGGGGAACTCAGACAACTCACCAAATAGACAACTCCATACAACACGTGCCACACTAAGCCCAGTGGGAAGAAATAAAATGGAGAAATGGGATGGGGTGCATAGGAAACGAAAAATTGGGTGGGCCTTCCGGAGAGGGTGGCATTTAAGCCAAGACAAGACATGAGGGGCATCTGTCTGCTGTCCCCATTAGAATATGCATACCGAAGGGCCAGAACTTTACCTTTTTCTAGCTGTTGTGTCTCCTGAACAGGTACAGAGTAGGTGCTCAATAAACTGTTTAAAGAAAACAAAAACACTATACCCATTAGTCTATGGGAGCGCCCTCTGTAGAAGGCGACCCTAACCTTGGCTCATCAAGACAGTGGGCAGAAGAGGAGAAGGAAAGTTAAAGGGGGGCAGGTGAGCAGGACATTTTGGGGGATGCATGTAAGCCTGGAAGTATGGGAGATGCCCCTGGATAAGGTCCCCTCCTCCCTCCCTTGCCCCAAGCAAACCCAGGTGGCACCCTTCCCCATGTTGGCTTTATCATCCAAGTTTAACCGCAGCCTCTCGTGGCTGGCTTCCCACCCCTTCCCAGCTCCCCTCTGGCCTCCTCCCCGCCCCCATCCTCCTCCGGAGGGGTGTCCCGGGCCAGATGGGCACAGTCCCCATCAGCAGGGCAAGCCTCTCCCGGGCTCAGCAGGCCTGGGCGCTCTGCCCCAGTCCCTGTGCCCGGCGGGACACTGTCCCTTTAATAGACTCGCTCTGCCTGCCGCTCTGCGGCTGGGGAGTAAATTTCTCCCTGTCATCAGGTCGCGGGGAGAGGAGGAGGAGGAGGAGTTTGTTAATGTTCAGTTTGTTCAGCGGGATCGATGTTTGCTGGCATCGCCTCGCCCTGCCTTGTGTGTGTGAGAGCGAGTGTGAGTGTGTGTGTGTGTGTGTGTGTGAGTGTGTGTGTGAGTGAGTGTGTGTGAGTGTGTGTGTGAGTGTGTGTGTGCGCGCATGTGGGGGGTGTGAGTGTGGGAGAGGAGGCGAGAGAGTGCGTGCGTGTGTGTCTGCGTGTGTGTCTGCGTGTGAGTGAGTGAGTGAGTGAGTGAGTGAGTGGATTCCAGATTTTCTGTCTTTCCCAAACCCGCTCCTGTCCTCTCGCATATCACTCACGGACGGAGATCTGACAGCAGCCACAAACCCACCGCGAGTGGCCGTGATCGCTCCGCGCGCGGATCCGCCATCGAGCCGAGGAGGAGGAGGAGGAGGAGGAGGAGGAGGAGGAGGCGGCAGCGAGGAGGTGGAGGAGGCGCTGGAGGAGGAGGAGGGAAAGAGCCGAAGGAGGAAGAGGAAGAAAAAGAAGAAGCCCACTACCTTCCCGGGATTGCTTTTTTCTTCCTTAATCTTTCCGCGCGCGTGTGCGTGTGGCGCGTGTGCGCCGGTCGTCCTTCCCATCTGAACCCGGTCTTGGATGTTTAATAAAGAAATCAAGTGTCTCACCAGTCACCACAAAAAAAAAGCAAAACCAAATATATATATACATCCAAAAGCAAAAACAAAAACAGAGAGAGGAAAAAAAAAACCCAAAACAAACAAACAAACAAGGCAGAACCAACCTCCGCCGCGAGCCCGCCGCCGGCACCAGCCACCGCGTCTGCCGCCCGCCCGGAGCGGGGGTCTCGGGCCCGCGGTGGCCGAGTCGCAGGGGGGATCGCCGGGGGGACAGAGGCCGAGTGACGTCCTGGGAGCCGCCGGGCGAGACACGGAGGAGACCCGGAGAGGCGAGAGAGACAGCGGGCCCCGCGCGCGGCTCGGGGCTGGGGCGCCAGAAGTCAGACTGGAGCGAAAGTAGAGCGATGCCCAGAAGGAAGCAGCAGGCACCCAGGCGGGCAGCAGGTAAGAGACGCGGCTCGCCCGCTCGCTCGCTCGCTCCTCGCTCGCTCGTCCGGGCTGCCCGGCGGCGCCCTGCGCCCTGCGCCCTGCGCGAGCTCCTCGCACGCCCTCTTGCCCCGGGGTGCCCCGGGACGCCACCCCCTTCAGCTTTCGGGAGACTTCGCTCCAGGCACCCCTCTAATAACTCCATCCCCTCTCGCCCTGCCAGCTCTCCCACATCCTCTGGTTTCCAGGCTCTGGCTGGGTGGGGGGGAGCTACCCACCAAGCCTTCCCTCCTTAAACTTTTTTTCCTCCACCCTCTACCCCACCCCTAACTTTTCTCCTGGTCTCTTCTTGCCTCTGGAGCCAGAGTCCTACTGAGGATTTGGGGTGCGGGATAGGGAGACAGCCCCTCCACCGGCTTGGCCCTCCGCGTGGTCAGTGCCAGCAGCTCCTGGCCTCCAGGGACACAGTCTCCCCTCCCCGGGGCTTGGGGCACTGAAACGGGGCTGCAGGGCTGCTGGGCTGTAGGGCTGCCGGCGGGCTTTGGGGCCAGCAATGGGAGTTTAGCTTTGATGGCAACGTAGAGAAAGCACCCCAGGAAGGGGATGAACCAACCTTTGAATGTTTCTAAAAGGACTCATGCTTAGGCATCTATTCAATCTTCTGTCTTCTCTTTAGAAGGAAAGAGGAAGGAAGGAAGGAAGGAAGGAAGGAAGGAAGGAAGGAAGGAAGGAAGGAAGGAAGGAAGGAAGGAAGGAAGGAAAGAAAGAAAGAAAGAAAGAAAGAAAGAAAGAAAGAAAGAAAGATGCTCCTTTAGAAATTTAAGTACTTATGGATTTTTCTTTACCTAGAGTTACAAACTTCATGTGCAAATTGATGTGTGTGGTAGGACCTATCCCACCTGAGCTCTAACTTACCACCTGACCCCCACCAAAACAGGGACAGGTTAATGGATCCCTATAATAGCTCTTCCAAGGGATTTCTTCTTCTTCTTCTTCTTCTTTTTTTTCCTATTGGGTTGCTCAACTGCTTTTTTACTAGTATGCTGGGGTTTTGTTTCTCAGAAGTGTAACAGGAAAGTTCATTTTTTTTCCTGCCAGACCCACCCACTGCAAAAATCAGCTTTCCACTTGATTGCTAGTTTTGATTTGACATTTGATTGATCACCTGTCATCTCCCTGCCTTTGATCTATTCATTCTTGATATATATCAATAAATCACTCACCATGGTAACTCGAGTGCCAGTGACGCAAGCCTTGCCCTCTATATTCGGAGCCAGACATGCACAATTATTATCTTGTTTGGCTTTTCATGTGGGCGTTTTTATTTCTTTGTGTCCTTTTAGTTGAATCAGAGCTCTAGAAAAAAAAAAAAAAAGTTGGAGTTCTGTTGTCTTTCTGCTCTTTTCCTCTCTCGGGCTTTGCTTTCTCAGTTCAGGCAGCAAGAGTTCAGGCTGGACTTCCGCACTCCCGCCACTGCATTTTATTCTCTTCCAACTGGGAAACACAGAGAGAAGTTTGGTGGCATACTTCTGTAAACTTTGCTGTGTTACCCTTAGGAGAAATTCAAATTTAGTCACAAACCTGGGGAAAATTAGTGTTTGCATCTCCGTGGGCTGGACCACCATACTCATCTGCCGGCGTGACCCGATCCCAGCCCGCGTGGCAGTCCCTGTCCTTTGAAATATCTACGTTAGCTTCACTTCTGAGCAGGAAATTGCTTCTGTAACCATTTGTAGGTTGGTTAAGGTTGCATAAGGAAATGCCATTTATAAAGCTTAGACTGGTATATTCTGAAATTGTTTCCTTCAACATATTTAAAATAGTTTTACCACCTATGTATTTGTAACTCCCTGAAGCAGTGGAGTATTTCCTTTTTTTAACTCTAGCTACCTCTTTGAAAACAATACCTCCTTTATTTTTTCTCTTTTGAAACTTAGACAACTTTACAGTCTGACAGTGCTGAGAATGCGCAGTGACCCTCCAGACCCAGGAAGAGTAAGCCTGCCTCTTCTATCCCTGGCAGCATGAGTTTAAGTGTAGCTAGCTTATTTGAGATAACATCCTCATTGTTGTCCCTAAAGAGAACCCTGGGCTGCCATCCAGCAAGAAGTGATACTGCCCTGAAAATTATTATTTTTTTCTCCTTGTTGTTCCGGTAAAGGCCATCAACAACTAGGCAGTAATTTAAATTACCAGAATGACTGGACATGTCTCCTTTCGTGAGCTCATTACAAAAAGTGCTTCACTCAGAACTGAACTACTTTGATTATAATCATCCTGGGACCAATGAGGATCCAGGTGTATAGAATATAACACATTATTTAAATTAGATCCTTTCATTAAGCTGGTATCTATGGGTGTTGGCTCATCTGTTTATTGTAGTGTGTGTGTGTGTGTGTGTGTGTGTGTGTGTGTGTGTGTGTTAGAAACTTGTAACTGTAGTTTCAGTTTTCTGGCCTATTGTATACATAGTGTCTGTTTGTTTTCATGATTTATGTTTACTGGAAGAAGTGGAAATCTCTTTCAAGCCAAAATGGACTAATGCATTTGTAGATAGTGAAGCCATTCTAAGGATATTCATTTGCTCTCTTATTAATGAAGCAGACAGTTTTTCCTACAGTATTTTCCCCTCATCTGGGGTCATCAGCACCCTGCTCTGCTTCACCAGAGGTGGTTCCTCAGAGGCAAAGTTAGCCACTTCAGCATGCTGCAGCCAGCTAACATCCGGGAAAGGGGAAGCGGGGGATTCTGAGATTATGGCCATCCTAACTTTTATCACTGCTTAAAATTAAATGCAAGGCACAACTGTAAGTAATTACTTCAACGGACTGATGTTGAAAGCTTGATTTCTGGTTTGATTAATGAATAATGGAAGATAGAAGAAGCTTGCCTGTGAATCAGAGGCCTCCTGCAGCTCTCGCTCCCAGGAACTGGTCCGAGGCTATTAGATTCCTTTGCATTTTTTTGTTTCAAGTTCCCTGTTTCAAGGACTCAGTTACAAAACTTTGTAATGAAGTGGCTTTCTGAATAGGACCAACAGGATGAGATTGCAAGTGGTGGGGAATTTTAGTCTTGATCTATTACATTCCTCCCCCTGCAGGAGGAAGGGGTGCCAGGAAACAGCGGGGTCGGAACATTTCCCTCCGAAACGCTCTTCTCCCTGGCTTCCTGACTCTCTGCTGTTCCACCAGACTATTACTTAAAGCAAGAGGAAGAAAAAAAGTTTAGAAAGCAGCTTACAGTACCCCAGGGGTTTGCACTTGGGCATGTGCTTGGCTTGCTTCCTTGATATATTTTTCATTTGCCATTAAAATGCTTCCACTCTCACCTGAAAATACTGCAGGATTATGAACCAGCACACACCCCCCGATTCATTTAAGGACGATGGCAGGAAGGTAGGGTGAGACAGAGCGGTGCATTGATTTGTCTGCACATTGTAGGATGCAGAGTGTTTAATTTGTTTTTTCAACTGCAGACATAATCTAGTCCTTCTCTTCCCATCAGTCTGTACCTCAGGCACTGTCCACAAGCATATGTAGTCCATCTTTCATTTCACCACCCTCAACTATTGTATTTCTATGCATGCCAGCCAGGCACAAGATAACAGAAAATCTTTTGGGGATCCTGGATACGTGGCCATCTAAGCTGTCCATAAACCCTCCGATTTGGCCTCGGCTCCCCAGAGCAATGAGACGCTTCCTTCTTGCTGACTTTCCAAGCTTTCTGATGCTCCCGATCTGTGGAGAGCCTCTTGGAAGGAACAGCTCTCTCAATTTGTTTTGTTTATTTAATATGAGATGAATAATGCAGATTTTGTTTGCACGAATGTCCTTGTGTGGCAGTAAACATTAGACGATTAGCAATCATTACTTAAAAGTTGTAATTTGCACCTTAATAGCACAGGTTTATTTACATGGGAAACATAGTCAGCAGGGACAATACTGAACACTGCGACAGGGCGGAAATGACCTAGAAGACGTCCTGCTGCACCTCGCCGCCGCAAGGAGGACTCTGGATTAATGGATGAGGGTCTAGAAACCCCAAGAGCGGGACAGGGGCGGGCCTAGCTGCTCAAAGTGGAAGTTTACCTTTAATGTATTGGCAAGTGAGAAAAAGCGCTAAGAGAACAGGGACCAATGGCGCCGTCCTGCTGTCCACACTCCCTCACTCCCTCACTGTTTCTAAACATACTTCAGGAAGACAAGTTCAGGGCCTGCAAGATAGCTCGGCAGACTGAGCACCTGCTGTGGCAAGTACAGGGACCAGGGTTCGATCCCCAGTTCCACAGGCACTGATCCTGAAAATGGGAAGAACAGGCACCTAGAACTTACTCTGTCCACAAATCTAGGTTGCGTAGGCGGTCCTTTCTCTCCCCCTATCCTTTCTGAGTTTCTTCTGCCTCTCGCCTCACCCTTAAATACCCAGATTGGATGGGACATCTCAAAAGCCCATTTGTTTTAGGCATTTATTGATTTCATTTTCAATCTGCCATATCAGGACATAATGCATTAACCCTAATCAGCAGATTGCAAGTGACGGGGAGCTCTAGCAGAAACCAGGTAAGGTAAGCAAGAGGGACTCTGGGAAACTTCTCCACAGTGAGGGCTCTGAGGCCTGGGGAACTGGACAGCGGAGGCTGCTTCTAGGAAAGGGAGAAACACCCCTCAGAATTCTCCAGGGCATTTTCCCTACCATTTTATGTTTTCTTTTCTCGCCCAGTGACCTCGATTCCTATTGCTGCCCCTGGAAAATCCTCACACCAGCAAACACCTCCTAGGCATCTGCAGGGAGCTGCGCGGTTCTGCCAAGCTTACTCCCTCATGCCGCGGCCCAGAAGCATCTTGACTTTTGCCACATCCTCCAACAGAGGCTTATGCTTTCATTTTATCCCAGTTGAGCTCTCCCGCACTTGAGGGGCTCTCCCAGACTGGCTAATCCCTGGGTGGGTCTACTTCTCTTCCCAGTGACTTGGGAATCTTGCTCTTGACTGAGCAGTTATAAAGGGGCCTGAGCTTGGC